AAAATACCACTGCAATTTAGTCTGCTTGCAGCTGCTGTCTAACCTGTAACAAGCTTTTTTTCTCAGGAAAAAGAAAATGTGTGCCTAATGAATTCTCCACTGTTCTTTTTTTTTTTTTTGCATGCACTAATACACACTGTATTCTTAATCAAACAAGTCCTCTTTTGTTATATTAAACTGTTATGGATATGTGCAATTAAAGTATCTCTTTTTATAGTTCTTGGACTTGCTTGCTTATGAATATTTCTCTTTTAATTTTAAACATCTTTTAACAATTTACTAAATGCTAAACACTTGGTTGGTTGTGTGAAATGCTTCAGCTTATTTATTGTACCTTTTTTTTGTTTCTTTTTTTTTGTTTCTGTTCATTGCTCTCACTTCTCTGCGTTGATCACTGCATGCAGATAATTGGAAGCAAAGTTCCGGTGAGTATATTATCTCTTGTCTGTCTTAACTTCAAATGCATGATATAACACCAGTAAAAATAGATCGTTTGCCCGTATTATACCGCATAGTGACTATTTGCACGTCTCTTTAATTTGCTGTAGTAGATTCATCTTCTGTATATAATTCTGGCCTAAAAAAAAAAAATTAGGGTAATATGAAATCGAATTTAAGTAATTGTATCCCAATTTTCCTGTGACAAATCTATGGCCTCTTAAATACAAATGAAGCCCTGAGAGAGGGGATAATTGAGAATTGGATGAATTGAGACTGTCAAGACTAATACAAATCAGTTCCATTCTTAAACTGACTGATTGATCACTAACTAGTTCTATTTATTTTGCTATTTGGGGTGTGCTGATATAAGAACGGTATCAGGCTTGGAAGCCATCTTTTACAGTGGCCCTCAAGCCTGCCATATATTCTACTGTGGGAAACTGGGAAAGGTAATTGCATGGTGCATGGGAGGTATGTAATCAAAATAACGTTCTTTCTAAGTGAACCAAGGTCAACTTGCTCCTGGAGTGGCATAACTGGGAGGAATCTTCCTCTGGACAATGGCTGGACCATGTGATGGACATGTGGGTGCTGGGCAGGGTCTTGAACTTTCAACTGGGTGGGGATCAGACTCGGGTTTTCCCAGATGTGCCAACATGGCTTCTCTAATAAATTGGAACTTTGAGGAACCTCTAGCCTCGCATTCTTATTTGATTGAGGATGCTATTTGGAACTCTAACGGATTACATATTGTAGGGGACCCAAAATTATTAGATTTTAATAGCTGAAAGGTAAAGCATGCACTCTTGAATTGGATCCCAAATTTTGGTAAGGGAAAATGCATGGGTGCATTTCATAGCAACTTTAGGTAGCAATTTATGAGACTTTAGGCGGGATCCGAAAAGTAACTTGTTGCTAGGCACAGAGAATCAGGAACAATTGTATAATAGAAGATGCATTTAATCTTATACATACGTAAGAATCCAATCAACCAAAGTTCAATACCAAATTGAATTGAATTGAATTGAATT